TTCACCCAAAGGTGCTGTGTCTCCCCCAGCCTCTGCACTGTTCGAGGACGCACTTCTCCTAATATTTGGGGAAGTGATCTTCTGAACTATAGCTTCCAATTTCAGTCCCCGTCCTTTGCGTGGGGGCAGGATTTTGGTCTTAGCAGGACTTGTGAGGGTAACAGGAGGGCAGTTTCTATTGTCTGAACTTGTGAGGTCCTTGGCGGATTCTCTCTTGGGAATGGACTTGAAGTCCTGGCTGTGAGAAAGATGGGCATAGGAATTGAACGCTTTATCAGTGCCTTCTTTTGAGGGGTGAAGGAGGCGTCCTCTATCTTCAATGTTGCTGTTTTTCGAGTCTTGTGACTGTCTTTTACTGGGAATGGGAGAGATAAAAGAACGGACACGCCTCCTCATGATGAGGGGGTTTTGAGAAGAATGATCCTCTTGCCCTGGAAGCCTCAGCATAACATTGCTAGGTTTGGATGACTGTGTAGACTCAGCCAGTCCATGCCCATCGGTCTCATGGGGTGGTCCATATCTTTTTTGATTGGACATTCCTGGAGGGCAGGTGCTTTTGGCTGGAGAAGTCTGCCGAGAAAGATCCCAACAAGATTCCTGCTTTAACTTCTGGGAGCCATGCTTCAATTCGATGCCTTTGTTAGACAGACCATCACTAGACATGAGGCAGCGCCCTTCCTGACCGCTGGGGTCATGGTAAGTCCCCATCGGTGGGCCATACATCATACCGTCTTTGTCATTTTTCAGAGGGCTCCGCACTCTGTCCAGGAACTGCTGCTGCCTCGGGCTCTTCCGGGCCCCCTCCTGCCTGTGCTGGGCCGCGGCGATCACTCCCTGAGCAGAGCTGCTCCAGTCCTTATATTCCTCTTGCTGCTGTTGGTACATCTGCCGCTTGTAATGGGGCTGAGAGTTCAAGCCTGCACTGGGATCCCCATAAGCATGGGCCCGCGTGTTCGTGTGGTACGCAGAGGCCAGGCTTTCCGAGTTGGGAGAAAAGGGAGCATGTAATGAACTCCGGTTGGCCCGCTCTGTAAAGGTCATATGTGGGTTCATGTGATGAGGGTCTCCCCCTGGGCCCCTGCTCCTCCCGGGAGACATCTTCAGTTTTTCTGAAAAGTCATGATACTGAGAAGGGGACCGACCCCTCATGCCCTCCCGACCACCCATTCTGCCAGCAACCCGTCGCATGGGCGTGGGTCTGCTGTCTTGAGGGCCATAGTCTGAGATGGAGTCATGGGTGGCAGCTCCAGGGCTGGCATTGCCTCGGTAAGACTCGTGCTTGATGCTAGCAGGATGGCAGTGGTCTCCAGATTTCTTGTTGTTGAAACTAGCTTGGGATTTGGATTGCTCAAAGTCTTCCTCTTTTATCTGCCCGCTCTGGGATTTTAGTTTTGTTTCCATGGACACTAAACCACCTGGAAGAATGACCGACTGACTTAAACTTGGATTGAGACGTTCATTCCTCCCAAGTCTGGTGTCGGCACCCATGTGACCCAGCGAGTGAGCCCCCGGGTCCCTGACAATCTGTCTTAGTGGAGAAATGTCACAGATCACTGATCTTCTTTCGGAGAGGGAACCCCCGGGCTCATGGGCTGATGACTGAGGCTCTATTTCAAACTTTCTGGGAATTGGATAGTCAGCCAAATTGATCTGTTTCATTTCTGGAGCTGAGCTGCCTGATTTCCTCTCCCAGGGGCCCCAGTGGGGGTTTTCTAATAGGGACCCAATGCTTTTGTTCAAAAGGCCCCTGCTAGCTAATTCATTGGTTTGACTAATTAAGACATTAGGCCTCGAGGTTCCTTCTAGACCACCAGCCATGCCCTGATGCTCCTGAGTACTCCTAGAGTATCTCCTGTCAGGGTGGTGGTGGTAACCCTGAAGCACTTCCTGCAGGAGGCTGGGGAACTTCTCATTTCTAGCCTTCCGCTCCCCATGGCCAGTGAAATCCCCCTTATCTTGTCCTGTAGGGTACTGAGGAAAGCCGCCGACACTTCTCGGCATGGCTGACCCAAAGCTGTCTTTGTAACTATAGCGCAGGCTTCCGGGAGACTTGCTAGGCTCAGTTCTGCCTATGAAGCCAGGGCCTACTGTGGGGTGCCCGCTCTGGCCACTGCCCTCTCCATTGTGGTTGGGGTTATCGCCACTCTTGTTTCCTTTGCCCCCTCCTCCTGGAGGCTCCGGCTGTGAAACTGATGCATGACCGATCTCCTTGGGCCCACCTGCGCTGGGTGGCCTTTGGGTGGCTGTGGGATCATCCTCTTGGGAGCCTTTATCTTGCCCACCAGGCTTTTCTGCCCGAGTCGTCATGGCTTCCCGGGAGACAATCACCCCAATGGTCTTCTCATTGACTTTTGGGTTGCCCTCAGAAGATGATGGCGTGTCCTTAGCACCTGGCGAGGCCGCCTCTTCTCTGGCTGCAGGACTGGCGCTGAGTCTGGGGGCTTCATTCTGAGTGCCTTGTGCTGGGGAGGAGCCGGCTTTCTCTGAGGCTCCACCCTTATAGGTGGTGTCAGAGCTGGTGCTCTGGCCACTCAGCTGCCTGACTCTCTCGCCTTGGTCCTCAGAACTGCTGGAGCAGCCTCCATCCAGGGACTCTGCCATGGGGGACTTCAGCTGTTCTTCAGGTTGGGAGGAGCCTTCGGAGTTGGTGCAGCTGTCTGCTTTCTTGGAAGAGGAGGGCCTCTTGGAGGTCTTCTTCTGAGGTGTCAGGGCATCAGAAAGTAGCATGTGCTGGACAGTATTAGGAAGATTGGCCACTTGAGTACTCAGGGCACTCAAACTACTCAACCCAGGGTCTGTCAGGCGCTTTTCTGGCACTCCGTCTAGTCCAAACCCTTTGAAGCCGGCAGCATGAGAATTAGGGCTGGGCATCATCGATGGGGTTGGGCTGAGCTGAGGCATTAGCTGTAGGATTCTGTTTCTAGAACCCATGGGCACACTGCCTTGCCCGCACTGGAGATTCTCCCCACTCTGCATAAGAGGAGATGGGGTCGAGCTACAGCTTGGAGACTGAACCACAGAGGCAGCTGGGGAAGGGTTAGAAATGGGGCTGAAGTTCTGGTGGAACTGCATGGGGGATCTCACAGGAACCTCGGGCTGGTTGTACTGCCCCACTTGGCTCTGCAAGGGCAGCTTGCTGGCGGCGTTGGAGTACTGCATCACGTGCTGTGGAGCGTGCTGCTGCTGCTGCTGCTGCTGCTGCGGCTGCTGCTGTGGCTGCTGCTGCGGTGGCTGCTGCTGCTGCCCCTGCTGGGTTCCTTGTGGAATCTTTGCTTGTTCAAAATTTTTCATAGATTGAGGCTGATAGCTGTAATTTGATTGTGAACCATAAGCCTGTGCGTTAGAACCCACATTATGCCCTTCATACTGGGATCCAGCATTCACACTGTAACTGCCGTCATAGCTCTGCCCAGACTGGCTGAAACGCTGTGGTGACGGGAAGGAGGAGGAGGAGGAGGAGGCGGCAGGAGACTGGTAGTGCTGGCCAAACTGGCCCACTCGTAGCTGGTAGCCAGCGGCAGAGGAAGGCAGAGCGGAGGGCCTCTGCATCGGCTGCAGGTGGGACGAGCCTGACGCCGGCTGGCCAGTGGCTGGTGGCAGTGGCTGATGGGACTGGTAAAGCTGTTGTCTCAGCTGCTGGACTTGCTGCTGCTGCTGCTGGCTGGATGCCTGCTGCTGGTACTGAGCGCTCCCCGGAGAGAAAGGCCCCGTGTAGTCCTGCTGATAATGAGACACACCACCAAGGCCAGAGTGCTGTGCTTGAAACTGGCCCACGTGACCCTCACTCCCATACTGATTGCCAAAGCTGCTCCCCTGGGGGGGTCCGTAGCTCTGCACAGGCCCAGAAGGCCTTCGCTGAGGAGGCTGCGGGGTGCCCGCCGCCACGGGGTCTTTGTTGCCTGCCATGTAGTAGAAGTCTCCAGCCTCTTTCCTGAAACCCTGGTAGCCTTGATGGCCAGAGGTCTCGCTAGCCATTGCTGCTGCAGCCGCTGCTGTCCCTCGCCGCCCACCACCACTGCTGCTGCCACTGCTGCCACTACTACCACCTGCGCCCCCAAAATTCTGGAACATCTGGGCCTGGCGAGGGCTGAACTCTTCTAGCCGGGAGGAGCCGTGTACCTCCTGTGGGTAGCTCTGCTGGTTTCCGTGGTAACTGCTTTGCTCCCGAAAGGACTGCATACTGTTCAACAGCACAGTGGCGGGCCAACAGCCCTCCTGGAAATGAAAGAAAAAAAAAAGAGAGTGAGACATGCGTCCTCCTAGTACAAATAAATCAAGTCTAGGTGATGGAGGGGCTATGTTAACCCAGCTGTCCAGATGAAACTGACTGGTTTGAATTTCATCTCCTTTTATTTCTTAGCCTATCCATTTCTGAAAATGAAAATATGCAGAGAAATGGTCTAAAGAGTGAGGCAGAAGTCTATGCTAGTATGAAAAGAAGCACTCTGGGTAAAAACAAATTCAATACAGTAAAAACCTCATTATTAAATGAGCCCCTTCCAATTCAACTGGGTAAAAATATAGGACTGTGTTATTACTCTCAATTAAAAAACAGCAATTTTTAAATATTTTCCAGTTATGGTGGGGAGGGATGAGAAGAACACTTTCATTTATTTGCTTGCATGTTATTAGACTGGTTACTGAACTAAAGAGTCTAAAAAATAATGATGCTATTCCACTGCCTAACCCCTCCTGGAATTTGAGAAATGGACTGTCCTGAGAACTGGTCAATCCCTTGTATCCAAATGCGTGTTACAGCAGGTCACTGTAATTACCAACTACCACAGGGATGCCTCACTGCAGTCAGCCACACAAACTTAAGGAAGGGTAACCTCTTCTTGACACCTAACTGTGTCCAAGGCACTCCTCAACCATCCATCAACGCACAGGTACAAAGGACAAGGCTGCATAAGTCAAATAGCCGTGACTATTCTTGAAGATTCTTTTTGGAGGTCTGCAAGACGTTCCAGCACCTCTGATCCCCACATAGTTTTTTATTTGGCAATCAGAGTTATTAATGGTGATTACTATAAAAGAGGGAGTGGAAACAGTCACTTTGGAGGACAGCAAAAGATAGAGGAAAAGAAGAATTCATTAAGCCTACGACCTAGACTCTTCCTAAAGTCACCAGATTGGGTCAACACTTTGTAATACCTCTGCTAATGTAATTAGCACATAATAGAATGCTCTTTTAAACAGATAATCAAGAGCTGATTTTACTTTGTATTTTGCCTGGGCCTGCCTAATTCAGAGTCAGAGATGAATAAGACAAGGCCAAACTGTTCCAAATGACTTTAAAATCAATTATTTAAAAAAGAAGTTATGACTCGGCCGGCATTGCTCAGGTCATTGAGTGCTAACCTATAAACCAGGAGGTCAAAGTTCGATTCCAAGACAGGGCACATGCCCGTGTTGCGGGCTTGATCCTCAGTGTGGGGTGTGCAGGAGGCAGCCAATCAATGATTCTCTCTCATCATTGATGTTTCTAGCTCTCTCCCTCCTCCTCCTCTCCAAAATCAATAAATATATATATTTTTTAAAAAGAAGTTATGAAACACACATGAGCTAGGGTAAGTTAGGACACATTTTTCTACAATGGCTTATGAAGTTAGTTTCTTAGTTCCCTCTCAGGGGGAGCTGAAAATGGACTTATTGGCAGAAAGGTGGCGATACTTTTAAAAGTAAGTCAGGCTCCTCATGCCCAAGCCCTGCAGTGGTGCCCCATCATGTTCTAAGTGAAGGTGGCCTGGAAGGCCGGCTCCCACCCCACTGCCTCTGTGACTGCCTCTCCTGTCCTGTTCTGCTCTATTCCACGCTGTCTCCTAGCTCCTGGGATGGGCTACTAGTATTTCTACACAGGAACTTTGTTCTTGCCTGTGCTCCTCTTCCTCCATAGCCACATGGCTTGTCCCTCTTCCTTCATCTCTAAGCAAATGTCACCTGATTAGTAAGGCTTTCCCTGGCCATTTTACTAAAAAACAGCTAACTACACCCTTGCCCAGGCTTTGCCAATCTCCTTCCCCCATGTTAGCTGCTCCCCAGTTCTTACTCCCAGCAGACACGGATATGCTACTTGTCTACTGTCTGTATCTTCCCCACTGGAATGTAAGTTTCCTAAAGGGCAGAGACTTTGAGCCTTGCTGCAATATCATGTCACTGAAACAGTAAGGGGCACACGGCAGGCCTTCTTGTGAACCAGTAAATGGTACAAAAACTAGGCCTTAAAGAACTAGATAGAACTTATAAAAAGAGAACATGATCGATCTAAAAGCAGAGCTGAAGATGCTGAAGGCTTGCCTATCAAATTCTCCAGGTTCAGTTCCAAGGGGAAAAACCCAACTTGAATCCACATAAGAGCCATGAGGAGACTTCAGAAAGTAAACACGGATCAGGGCTGAAGATGGCCAGTAACTCCAAACCCTAGAAGCTTGACTCACTTCTTCCTGAAATATCTTATGTCTAAAATAAGTAGACAAGGGGCTGTTACTTTGGTATTAAGTTTGATTATAATCACATGACCCAAAGTCATCTTTAAACATTTAAATAATCTCAGAATCTAAAGGAAACCATTTCTCATCCTCTTCAAAATCCCTTCACAACAGACTATTTTCTGTGTTCCAATGAATCTGCTTGGCAACAGGCACTAGCTTCTTGTAACGTTTGACCTCACACACTAACCATCAATGCACAGAACACTACTATCCTCACTGTACAGATGAGGAAACCAAATCACAGGGTTCAATGCCTCCTGAGCAGCAGCAGTCTGCCTCCTTGTTCCTAGCACTGCATGACCCAGAGGGTCTATGATAGGGACAGTTGGCACTTGTCCAGTCTGAGGTTGGCCTTGAAAGTGAGTGGCCACCGTCAGTACCTTTTAAATATGTCCTTCTTTCCCCCTTTGGTCTTCTCTACATGATAAAAGGCGGCTGATGGTTTAAAGCCAACAAAAAGACTAAGTCTGGCAGTTTAATGCAAAGCTTCCTAGAAAGAGAATCATTCCATAAATTACTACATGGTTGTTTAATTAATCCTTCTGTAAATAAAATCAGGCTTCTGAAAAATTCAAGTATATACACAATGTTGCCACTTGCTCCAAATTTTTCCTAAGCAGGAGCCCTAAGCGCTAAGGACAACTCACTTAACATCAGCATGTCCCACCTTAGGCGGCCTGTTTCCTAAGAAAACCCGAGCTCCAGAAAAGAAAACATTTAGTACAATTCCTTCGAAGGCCTGTTCTCAGCTCTTCTCCCCGTTGTTATAGTTCTGGTTTACGGACTAGGTGGAGAAAAAAACAACAAAAACAAACCCACAGCCAAGTACCTCCTGTGAGGTACCAGTCAAGCTAAATATTCTTAGCACACAGGAAGTATCTGAGCACCAGAAAGTGGTACAAGTCCATCTTTTTTAGGAGTCCCGAGTAAAGCAATTAGGAAACCAAATATACCAGAACTTAAGAATGTAAACCCAGAGTAACTGTAATTTTAAACATTAGCATATAAAACAAGGTACTAATAGATCATCCCAATACTATCCCAATTTTAATAAAGCAAACCATCAGTGTAATCAGTTTTAAAGCATTGTGATTAATAATGACAACTGCCTGAATTTCTTTGTTTAAATGAATACAGATGTGGTTAAAATCTGACACTTCAAAGGAAGTAGGTCATCCACTGGAATCTGTATACATACTCTGCAAATGAGGTTACCAATGCACCTCCCTCCCCAACTCTCCCTTGGCCTGATTTCCCTTTCCTGGTCTTCTCACACTTTCCTAACTTTCTGAATGGTATCAGAAAGCCTCTGGCGGTGACTAGTAAGTGAGGTCCAGAACTCAGTGCCTTTACGTTCGCTGGCCCAGGGTCCACATATTGACCTCATGACAACACTGCAGCCGCGTCTCCCTCCTAGCACGGGGCCTTGCTGTCTACAGGAAACCAACAGCAGCTTCCCTTGTCTTCTTCCTTCACAGGTCGGACATCACCCCACTCCCCTCCACAAAGTTCTCCAAACTGTCCTCAAGGCAGTTTCCTGGAATGAGCTTTTCAAGGACCCACTTCCTCTTTAAAAAAATAATTTTTAAATATATTTTTATTGATTTCAGAAAGGAAGAGAGAGGAAGAGAGAGACAGAAACATCAATGATGAGAGAGAATCACTGAACGGCTGCTTCCTGCACATCCCCTACTGGTGATCGAGCCTGCAATCCGGGCATGTGCCCTTGACTGGAATTGAACCTGGGACCCTTCAGTCCACAGGCCGATGCTCTATCCACTGAGCCAAACGAGCTGGGGCCCACTTCCTCTTTCATTTCAGGTTTAACCAATGATTTTGTGCTCATTCTTTTTCTTTGCCCTGAAGGAATGCTTCAGTCCTTAAGACATGAACAATATATATGCGGCCCTGGCCAGATAGCCCAGTTGGTTCGAGCATCATACCGCTATGCCAAGGTTGCAGGTTCAATCCCGGGCCAGCGCACATATAAGACTAAACCAACGAATGCATAAATAAGCGGGACAGAAAACTGATGTTCCTCTTTCTCTCTCAAAACAACAACACATATGCTTCTAGTTATTGCCTGGCAGGTTATTCTCTTGGCCCTCCAGTCTCACTCCTTACCCATCTCCTTTCTACTCTACGCTCTGGGAGGGGGCACCACAGAGATTGTCAAAAGGCTCTGCTGCCCCTCTGGCATCTGGCCCAGTTTGGTTGGGAAAAGGCAGGAGGAGAGTGAGGAGGAGGAATTCACTCTTCCGGCTCCTACCCTGCAGCCCCTGAGGCTGGCTGATCCTCCTCGTGCCTCTCAGGCCTGTGGGTAATAACCACTCCTGCTATTGCTCGCCTGGTGTCCCTTAACCCTGACCACCTTCTATAAACGGTCCCAGTTCTGCACTGGTCCACTCAGCAGCATCGTGATCACCCTCTTTCTAAGTTCTCCTCTGCAGATCAGGAGCTGGGAGCTACCTTTCCAGAACCCCTTTCCAGCATGGTCCTGGTTAGAGCTGGCAAAGAAGCACCAGAAAGATTTGGAAGGCAAAGGAAGGGAGGCTGACACACCCAGAGGCAGCTGCAGCAGGCACAGGCGCACAGAGGCTTCCCCGGGTGCTTTTGTCTCAGATACTCAGGAGCAGCTTCCCTGACCTTCCAAGGGATGGGTAAGCCCTTAATCCCTCATCAAAACTCTTCAGACCTGGCATGGAAAGCTTCCCCCTTCCTGAA